CAACTAAATCGTATAATGAGATCGTTAGGCAAGGTCGAAAATGAGTCGTGGTATGCTCAACTAAATTTGATACTACAGTTTCTGTAAATTTCTACACTTCGTCAGAAAATTGCTTTCATACGACAGTGTAGAAGATGTTTTAATTGATTTTCGCAAACGACTAAGATGTCTTAAACCACCTGAGGAGACCCTTGAGCAAGGTCGAAACCGGTCGTGGTACGCTCTTCTAAATTTGTACCATTTTCCGTAAGATTTTGCCAAAAATTTTAGAAATAATTGTGATCCTTCTAGAAATTATTAATCGATAGTTATGGAGGTTTTGTCGTCTCTGCTTAACCTCTATCTCTATCTCGAATTTCTAGATTAGGATTGAATTGCAGCACTTTAAAATTTAATAGCCAAACTTACCTGAGGATGGCCCTTAAGCAAGGCCGAAACCGGTCGTAAGATTAGCTTGTGCTATTAAATGAAATTCATTTGTATATACACCCACACCGTCAAGAAAATTGTTCACTGTCCTCCTTGAATAGTTAATTTCGTGAAGAATGACATACGTAAATATCTTTTTGGTCCTTTTCCTAACATATTAACACATTACAGTTTTTGGAGAAGCAAGACTAATTTATTTTTCACTCTTTCATTAAATAATATGAAATCGCTTCGGATGAATGAATTCTTCAATCTTCATATTTGTATTTTCATTTTCAGGACATCCTTAGTATTTGAGAATATTCTCGAATACATTGAGTGTTGAAAGCAAGGATTTAATGCAGCTGATGAATATTATTCATAAAGGATATCCCTAAATGTAACAGCATTTTTTAGAAACTGTTCACAAAGAATGTCCTTGAATTTGATAGACTTCACAAAGACTGTTCATAAAAGACGTCCCTCAACCTAACAGGCTTTTCAAACACTGTTTATAAAGGACGTCTGTCTATAAGCTCAACATAATCTAATGATATTTCATTCTTTTTTCGTCTACGTGACTTGTCTACATTTTTTCGGCTACGTGACTTGTCTACAACTGATAAGGATCGGACATTTTATATTAGACAATAGCTACGTTCCAGCACGTATACATAACGATTCTTTATTCGTACAGTATGATGAGAAAATGCAACGAAAAATTATAACTGATGCAATTTCGTTATAATATTGCGAATGTATGTAACTGATAACAAAAGAAAAGAAAAAGAATAGAATGGATGATTCGTTTTTTTTTTCTTCTTTCTGTATCTATATATATATATCTTACATTCACTTCTACTATTCATTTCAACTGAAGCTATGCATCGAGTGAGTACCATATTCGTATATATTTTTTTTTCATCTTCTTTCGAACGGTATATTCATGCCAGTTAATTCTTTAGCACTGTGATTACTTCTGCTTCTTTACTTCAACATCAACTTTATTGATCTTAATTATAACGAGAACTATACTTAATAGTTACAAATATTGAACATTATTATGAATCGAAGCAAGAATTGTGACGTCAATAAAAACTAATTAATTGATATGCAATATGTTTGAATTCGATAATATTTAATTGATTTGCAGCATTCGGATATTTATGTTAAAAAATGAAAAGAATGATAACTTTACTATGTCAATCTGTTGCCAATATAGCGTATATGTTCGATAGGTATAGTGCAATAATTTTATTAGTTCTTTTATCGAAAATATAAATGTACATTTATTCATTATAGTATAAGCTCAAATTTCGATGAGGACGTCCTATAAGTTCATATGGGGAGTGCTGTGCCAAATCTTAATAAGGACGTCCTAAGTGGTTGTCGAACGGACATCCTTTCCAGATGGTTTTTACTTTGTCAACTCACAATAGCAAGGATCTAAACATAATCGTCTAACATCAGGTCTGTTGATGGTTTAGTTAGGGATTTTTCTCAGATTTTTACCGCGTAATATCAAAACAACTTTCTAATTTTCAGGGCTGGTGTTTGAATAAGTTCTGCTTATTCAAATAATAATTAAAACACATTTTGAAAAACGTTATATTTGAATATTCTTAGACTCCAACATTTTTATCTTTTATTCTTCATATCGCATAGCATCGATGACTGTGTCGATGTACTAAGAGGAGGGTACCGAGACAGTCTTGGTAGACGTCTCTCCGGGTTCACTGAGACAAGCTTCAGCCTGTCTCAGCGATATGCGATTATATTTCTGTTATCCCTTTTTTCCCCCGGCGGTTGAATATTGAGTTGAGAACATCGATATCATCCTATGATGATGATGATAATTTTATAGAATAAGATAGCTTTGCGTACGGTCACTGTGGCTGTCTGAAGTGGCTATCCCACCGGGCAGAGCAGGATCAAGGCCTTATTAGACTATAGTGTTGTTGAGTTTTTCAGAAAGATGGGGATTCAAAATGTACTTAGAGGAAGTTAAGGTATAGAATAAGTTTTCTTTTTATGTCTCTTCATATTTCAGGTACGCATGGTTTATTTTTATGACGTTGGACTAAAGTAACTTGTGTACATTTTTGTTTCTTTGTGTACTTTTTGTCTGTTTCTAGGTTTTTTTTTATTTGTATGGTATGTAATTATTTTTAATTGTATTTTATAATAAAATAAATTTATCTGTATGTGTAATGCTCAGTATGGGCGTCTCTCTCTGTGTGCCTGGTGAAAAGTTAGAGCCCGTCAGGCTAGCAAAATTGAAATGCTACAAGAACAGGAGTAAAAGAGGATAAAGAAATGAGTATATAAGAGGATAGGGATATAAATAGCAAGGTAAGGATATAAGAGGATAAAATTTTGATGACAGAAGGGAAAATGAAGATGTGGATATCAGGCACCAAGAGTATGAGGAGATAATGGTCTTAGGCGATGAATGGATAGAGGCATAGAAGGATAGGGATATATAGCTATAAGGATGGATGGAGATAAGAATATATGGGTGAAAGAAAAGAGGTATATCAGAAGATAAAACGTGAGGAGTATAAGGATTAAAAGTAGTAGATAGCAAAAGAGTGGGCCTATATACAGCTGATGCCACAGGAGTAAAAGATTAGAAGGGATTTGACTACAAGGGTATAAGATTATAAGTTCTACCTTTCTATAACTCAAAATGTCTGATTTTCTTCTAGAGACTCGAAGATAAAGCATTGATGTGAAATTTTTACAGGAAAAAAAGGCAACCGAGCAGTGTCGACATCGTTTACGTCTTTGAAATAAATAAATGCATCACGTTATTGCGAAGAGAAACTCCTCTGATTGTTTTAATCTAATATCTTAGATGTTCAGAGTATCTTCTTTCAAGTCTAATCTTTAACGATACGTAGAGTAAAAGCTACCCAAAGATGACACTTGAGCAGGATCCAAATCGAAATCATGAGGTGCTAAACACACTCACTTGTTAATGAGTCTTAAGATAACTTTTCATACTCATCTACACTCTCCTCTACATATCTGAAGCAATTCATTGCAAAATATAACTTTTTCTTTAAAGATAATTTTGTTTATGAGAGAGCATCTGTTATTTTTAAGAAAAATTCAAGCCATTTGAAACTAATAACAATATGAAAGTACATAATAGAAAATCCTACATATTGTTCTGGCAATGACATACAAACAGTTATTTCTTAACGTTATCTAATTTGATCTATATGTAACATTTTCATGGAGAACTTTATTTTTTTAAGATAAAATTCGTCTTTCCTTTTTGAATATCATTAATGGCAATGAATAATGATGCTTCTAATAAAAATTTTGATCGCGATGATTTTGGTGAACAGAAACAAGTAAAATATCTATACACGAGAACCAAATGTTCCTTTCTAATATATATATTTCGTTTCTCTTTCAGTACAACAATTTCAACAGTTCAGAAGAGATGCTTACTACTTTAAGAACACACCTAAAGTGTCAAAAATCTCCGGATTTCAAAGTAAATAATTTAGAATTAATGCCAACGGATAAAATTTTTTCGTCCGTGAAAATTACTGCTAGGTTGATGAAGAGGAAATTCTAACACAGAAAATGAGTCAATTGTCAACAAATATTGCTGCTGAACATGAATTCCTGACAAAACCAATTCAAAATGCTCTGAAGAACATCCCATCTTATTTAACAAAAAGAAATCAATCTTTTCAAGTAGTGTTAAATCAAGCATTAACAACAATGAGTCTAGAAGTATCGGATGCTCATCAAAATGAACTACGATGCATTGCTATTTTAATCTACAAAAAATCCGTACTTCATATGTATCTTCGTTTATGGAAAACCTATTTGAAATCAGGTGTAGGAGAGTTAATCAATGATTCAGAAAAGCAATTCATCTACTCAACCAACTACCAAATTTGGCCAAAAGAAATAAAAACTATTCTTCAAACAACAAAAAACAATAAAATAAATGTAAATAAGATATATATGGACTTCGTTTATCAGACTTTAAATGAACTCGATCGGCTTGGAAGACAAAATCACATTGAATGGAACAGGAAAGTCAAAGATATTAATGGCTATACATCCACTGTTGATAAATTTATCCAAACATACATTGAAAATAATCTATCTTTTTTACGTATGGAAATTGAACATGAAATAGAACTTGTTCATTATGACTACCATATACAGGCAGTAAAACAAGAATATGATCGACTTCATCCAAATGCATATCAGGTATGTTCTTTTATTTGAAAAGAGAAAAAAGAGCTGTTCATTGCTTGAAAAATTATTCTAGAAAAAAATATTCAAACAATTATGCCATAGTAAATATGAACAAGAAATCACACAACAAGAATATAAGTTTCTTCAAATACAAATACATTATATTAATTCATCATGTCAATCATTTGAAAACGTACCCATAGCTGAATCAACATTAATTAATTCTATTGAAAATCCTCAGATTCGTGAAAAATTATTCGATTCCTATAAAGCAGTTGCTATACAAGCAAGAGCTGAATTATTTGCGATGTATTTGAAAACTGCTGAGGAACAACGAAATGAATACAGAAAAAACTATAATGATATAGTTTCTCGTGTTTGGTCTGAGCGTCGTGCATTGCCTGACAATGAAAAACTACCCATAAATATGGTGAATCTTATAAACGAACGCTGTAACAAAATCGGTGAACGTCTACAATGCATATATAGATTTAAATTCCAATGTTTTGTTTCCAAATCAACCTTTTAATTTTTATTCATTAGCAATAAAAGACTTTATGAATACTCAAGATAATTATACTATTAGCTAATATACATGCTATCTTACTTTTGTGACTTTGCTTTCTCTTGATTTTAGATAAATTTAAATAAAATTCATTGTAAATTAAAAGATGGATATAAACCTAAGTAACAAGGAGCATAATTATTATCCATTTCCAATTGGTCGACAACAAAAGAAAAGATCTCATGGAAATCGAAGAGATCAACGCTATCGGAAAAAGCTTCGTGCCCGAGGAATGAAATCAGCAAAAATAGAAAAATTACTTCAAATAAGAAAAAAGATTGAGAACAAGAAGCAGAATCAATCGAAGAACACGAAATATGCTACAACAATTGATACACAGGTAATATTAAGAGCTTCGAAAGTAGGGTTCACGGCAGAAAGTACTCAATCAGAAGAATCAAAAAGAAGAAGCAATCTCAGTAAACGTAAACGAGAGATATCAATACAACAATTAAATCTAAATTCAACAATAATGAAATCAAAGAGTTCAATATCTATTATACAACCATCAATAAAAAAGATGAAAAACAAAAAGAAAACTGTAACAACTGCTATTCGATCGAATATAGTTGACAACGATAGTATGAATATAAAGTATCGGTCTGTATTGTAGTCATCTTTCATAATATTTATTATTAGTAGAATGTTTCTCTTTATAGACGACCTATGTATTTGAAACGATCACCATCCATACTTATTAAAATGTTAAGCAACATATTAAACTATAACATTGAAAAAAGAACTGAAAAAAGATACATTTGTATGCGTCTTGAGCTTTTCGATCGATACTGTTGTGTTCGTTTAAATGTTGAATTATGGACATCTTATCTAGAGATTGGATTAAAACAGCATGTATGGCCAGTAAGTTCAATTTTCAAAAACAAAAAAACAACAAATATCTGATCACTTATTGAATGGTTCTTCTCGAAAATTTGTAGGATCGATTACATAAGATGGTCAAGTCGAAAGATTTCGAAGTATGTCATCAACATCTTAACAATTGTGTTAAGAATTTGAAAGCAGAATTGGATCAATATCAGATGAAACTCAAAAGGCAATCTGAATTATGCCCTTTAAAAAATCTATCATTAGATCAGATTGACCATTGTCTCATTGAATTTGTTAATTTTCAACGAAATTACTTATTGATGAGAAATCGTCGTCAATTGGCTAAGTTCGAAAAAGTTTTTCATATAAATGAATTTGTTAGAAGTATCTCCACCTATAGATTCACAGCAAGTCAAGTAAGTGTCTTTTTCATTCTGAATAAAACTTGTATTAAAATTTATCCATATAAATATACAGGGTGGCCCATAAGTAACGTAACAAAGTATTTTTTCGATTTCTCCCTTATATTTAGTCAGGTAGGTCTCATATTTATATCACGTATACTAGATGACATAACTTAAAGATGTGCCATAACAATAGTATCTGGATGCCCTAGTTTGTTCAAAAACGAGCAAATACAAAATAACCAACAAAAAAATGAATCATGTATGACAGCTATAATTTTTGTTGTCATAACATAGTTATTCTGTTTCCTCTGATGGTATTTATATACGTGCTACCGGAGACATCTGCAAAACAACAACACAACTGGTCATCTCTTTTATCGCTTCATTCATTTTTTGTTTTCTTTGCATTCTCTGCTCTGACCACAATTCTAACGTGTGTTTTCAGATATTTAACTATGAGTCGAAGTTTTCGGCTATCCTCATCTGAACGAATCGAAATTGTAAAATGGCACGCCATTTACCAGAATGCAGCTGAAGTTGCTCGTCAGTTTAAATATCATTATGATCGAACTCCTCCAGCACGACAAAATATTTTGAACATTGTACGAAAGTTCGACGAAACGGGAAGTGTTCAAGATAAATCAAGATCCGGTCGACCCAGATCTGTTAGTACCGATGACAATAAAGAACGTGTTCGTGCTGCTTTTCAAGAAAGTCCTGAAACATCATCAAGAAGAGCTTCCTCGGACCTAAATCTGTCTAGAACTAGTCTTCAACGGATGATGAAGGAGCTGGGATTGAAACCATATCGTCCTCGATTACTACATGCCTTGAACGAAGATGATCCCGACAGACGCTGCGAATTTGCTGAAATCTTTCTAAGCTTGGTTGCTGACGACTCTTCATTTCCTGATCGAATCGTTTGGACTGATGAAGCCACTTTTAAGTTAAACGGGCATGTCAATCGACATAATTGCGTTTACTACGCTACAGAAAACCCTCATATCGTGATCACCCAAGAAATGAATGCTCCAGGCATTACTGTATGGGTCGGCATTTGGTCTGGAGGTATTATCGGACCGTTCTTCTTTAGTGACACCGTTACCGCAGAGAGTTATCTTGAAATGCTGAATGATGAAATTGTTCCAACTATTGAAAGTCGAATGAATTTAGAAGAGATATTTTACATGCACGATGGAGCACCAGCTCATTATGCTCAATCCGTTCGACATTTCCTGCATGAGACGTTTCCTGATCGGTGGATTGGTCGGCGTGGACCGATTGAATGGCCAGCACGGTCGCCAGATTTGACGCCTACCGATTTTTTCTTATGGGGAGTAATCAAAGATCGTGTGTATGCGACCAAACCTCAAAATCTTCGAGCACTCAAGCGTGCTATTACTACAGAAATACAAAGTTTGCCAGACGAATTATGTCAAAGAGCTTGCCGATCAGTACCTGAAAGACTACAACTTTGCAAAGACTTAGAGGGTAAACACATTGAGCAATATTTGTGAAAAGTTTTGTACTAAAAATAGTTCACAAAGACGTATTTTCAGTGTGTGATTTTCTTGTTCTTTTGCTTTAATAAAATTTTGATAGAACTCAGACGTGTTTCGCTTTTTGTTGGCTATTTCGTATTTGTTCGTTTTTGAACAAACTAAGGCATCCAGATACTATTGATATGGCACATCTTTAAGTTATGTCATCTAGTATACGTGATATAAATATGAGACCTACCTGACTAAATATAAGGGAGAAATCGAAAAAATACTTTGTTACGTTACTTATGGGCCACCCTGTATATTAAGAATGAATTGATGAATGGCTTAATGGAAATACGAAAACAACAAGGAGAAATATACCAAGAAGCTCTTAAATTAGAAATGAGAATTCGGTATAAGTTTCTACCAAAAGAATTCGACTGTTTACAGGATTTCATTGCGTCAATAAATTATGTACCATTCAACAATGATCAACAAAAGGTTCAAGTGAAAAATAAGTATTATAAAAATATCCAGGAAGCGAAACGTGAATGCGTTGTTATAATTCTCTACGCATATCATATTAGATTTAAAGAGTATGAAAAACAATATCAAAATAAAATTGTAGCATTACAATTACAATGGAAAATGAGTAGTATGATTGATGGTACATCAGTCTTCGATCGAATTATAGAATGTACGAGTTATCAAACAAATTTATTGAAACAAGATATTGTTAAGAAAGTTTCCTCATTTCGAAGCACATTAATTCAACTTCGTCAACACTCATCGTCAACACGAAAAGATATTATTGATGTCTCTCCTGAGTCGTTTCTTGATCTATTAGCAAATCCTTTCATACCGCGAGAATGGAACCATCTTTCACTTGGTATGATAGATTATCGCAAAATCTTCATTGAAATGTTTCTCTTTTCCTTAAGGTCCATCATATATACGATTAAATCAAAGTGCCATTTATCCTCGACATCAACAAGAAATTGTTATTGGAAAACAACATGAAAAAATCTATGAAAAGGTTAAACAACATCTTATAAAATATCATTTTATTCCACTGAAAGCAACTGTTTTCAAAACATATTCTAATGAGGTTTTGGATTATTTCGATCAATCCTATTTTTCTCCATTACCATTTAAAGATCAAGTGCAAGCATCAGAGGAAGCAAAAACAGCTGCAGCTATTCAACGCAAAATAAAAAAATTTAATCTTATTCTTCGCTTAACCGATAAGGGTCATAATTTTTACATTGGTTCGGCAACTGAATTCGAGAAAAAAGTACAAACATTTTTCCAAGAAACAAATGCTTTTATGGAGTTAAGAGAAAATCCGTTGGATGAAATTTTGAAGAAAGTTATCCAATTACTCAATCAACTTTACGCGAAAAAATTGATTTTATCATGGCAACATAAAAAAATGATGCCTGATCGAAACAAATGTGAATTGTCTCATTTATATTTTAATCCAAAAACACATAAGGTATTGTAGATATTTCGAGATATAATTCATTTCTATCCTACTCTTCGAAATTTAGGATGGTGTACCAGTTCGGCCGATTGAAAATACTATTGCGGCTCCAACAAGAAATATATCAGACTTCTTAGATAAAATTATACGACCAATTTTTGATAATAAATGCAGCACAACTAGCATTATCGATGGTACATCTTTAATAAAAAACCTTACACAATATGCTAAAAGAGGTCTTTTAAAACCAACAACTCTTTTTTGTACATTTGATATTCGTAATTTATATACCATGCTTCCACAAGAAAAAGCATTGAATATTCTTATGGAATTTCTTCATGTACATGGTTATACCAGAGTTAAAGGAATTCCACTTGATGCCATAAGGAAATTAGCTTCGCTAGTATTGAAAGAAAATGTTTTCGTCTATGGTAAGACAATTTATAGACAAATTCTCGGTGGCGCCATGGGGTCATCCTTTACATTAACATTAGCCAATATATTTATGTGGAAATGGCAAAAACAACTCGTTCGTATACAAGAGATCACAGGTGAATTTTACGGCCGGTAAGTCAGAAGCAAAGCAAAAGAAAGCAGTGAGTGTAGTTTCGAACATATTCATAGATATATCGACGATATTTTCATGACATGGAACAAATCGGAACAACAATTAAAAAATTTGTTGAATGAAGCAAATACTTGGCATCCTAACATTAAATTAGAATACAAAATAGGTAAAACTGTTCCATTTCTTGATGTGGCTTTTACAAATGATAACGGTAAGCTAATTACCGCCGTGCATCACAAGCCCGCTGCAGAACCGCTTCTAGTACCTTTTACTTCTGATCATCCGCGTCATACATTTGTGAATATCGTACAAACAAGTCTTGCGCGTGCTGTAAGATATTCATCGACTTTGGAAATATTTGAAAAAGAGCAAAACTATATTAAATTCAAGCTATTGGTGAACCGGTAAATGTCTTCGAAATAAATTCATAAAGATATTGTTCATCATGAGAATTTCTTCAGATATCCATCAATGTTCATCGAAACACAGTTTCGCAAATTCTTCTCGGGATATACAAGTAGCACAACGTTTGTGCCAATGATTGAAAACGATAGACAATACAAACTTCTTCGGATGACACTTCTTGATCTACCTACACCAAAACAAACTCAAGTGGTCCACAGTGCAACACAAGCTGATCTCAATAATGACCAAACAGATGATGAAGAACAATGTCCTCCGAAACTTCGCTCAAAAAAAGCCTATCAGAAAATTAACTTTGCAGATAAACTTATCATACACTACACACATGAACAGCGTTTTAATTCAACTAAAAAGAAGATGCATGCAATCTTCGACAAAGTATTCAAAAACACACCCGTCAGCAACATCAAACTTATCGTCGGTACGCGCAATCGACCAACTTCAAAACAGGAGCTTATACACAAAAAGCCAAAAAAATCAATACTTAAGAACAAATCCTACACATGTTAGTAGCCATAGCGTTAAACAACCCCCATCCTTTCAGCAAAATCCTATACTAATACTTTCATTTCAGGCCGAAAAAAGAAGCGAAACCCGAGAACCATCAGAAAACAAGAACTATGCCAGCATGTCGAACCACTGGACACCTGGAACTATACTTCGAAAAACAAGAAATACACAACGGCCTAATATGCACGGCGCATAAAACTTTGATTCAAAAATTAAACTTTCACAAACTCTTCAACCTAATAAGGTTAACACTATAAACTATTATTATTGAAACAGCTGTACTGATTAGATTTATAGAATTCACAATGTAAAAAAAAAAAACTTTTAAATAAATAAGATCGAATCCGAACCAGATATAAAACGACCTAGACAAATATCACACATGTCCCAAAAAAACGATCCATATAAGATCCAACAATACACACAGCCGGCGAAACCTTAAACCTACTAAGACCACAACCATACACACTTCACCAATTACATGAAACACCACATCCAACAATACAGCAACAGTAACATACCATTCGCACAACAAACTACAGACGGATACACAATATTAAAAAAGTAACACATATAGAATAATACGAATCCAAAACGCAACGAGCCATCCCGACCACTCCAATAACAACCCGCCACACAAAAAAAAAAGAAACAACTCCACAACCACCGAAAACATACAAACCAACCCCACCGAAAGTACAGCCCATTCTGAGTACGAACTTCAATCCCGAAATTTCATTTGTAACACTGAAGATAAATCTTGTTTTGGATTTTTCTCTTTAAAAATTCGAAATAGATAAGCCACCTGATGAGTTCCCTTTAGCAAGGACGAAACCGGTCGTGGCATTTGATACCCATTATACAGAAATTAGTAGCTATAGTTCTCATTACTAGTAATCACATTGACATACCATATCGTAAAAATCTTAAAGGGCCATGAATCATACAATCATACCGTCTCACACAGTTGCACCAGGTGTGGGTGTGACGAAGGGAGTTTCCTTAGTATGGAAGAGCATCCCTTTTCCAGCGCCTTCCAGGAGAACCCTGGTGAACTTGCTCAAAAGTATTTAAAACTAAATATTGACCAGATAAAACTCTATCATATAATTTCAGCAACCACATTAGGACCACGGAATTATATAATTTCAAATAATGTGAACTGTGACACCTAGCTCCTATTCAGAATTGCAAGCCAAAGTCGAAAAAGTCTACTCTCAAAGTCACAAGATACTTATTTACTTTTAAGCAACTCTTTCCGAATACCGAACACTGCTAATGAAAAATGGAATCTGTCTCATATGATATTCTTAATCAAAAATCATTTCACTTAAAATAATAACTTGAAATTTATTACTACCCTAAATATCAAGCTGTTGTTGGTACGTTCTCGAGTCTTAACCACCTCATTTATTGAATGAGTTTCTGACTTGTTATGTAACTATAAGTTCTAAACATACCTGACGGAGACTCATAAGCAAGGTCGAAACGCGTCTTGTCAATGCTTTCAATCTATAGATCTTTCATAACAATATACTTCGTAAACAACAAAAGTACCTGATAAAACCCGTAAGTAAAAGCGAAACCAACCGTAAGCATCGATTCACAAGTATATACTTTCAATTGTGAATACATTGTATATTCTTGAATTTATCTTCTGGAATATATATAGTGATATTTAATATCTCTTTCTTTCTCTCTCTCCAAAGTTACAAACCTAGACAATATTCGTGATCATTCACGTAAAACCCTCCATAGCTTGTTTGAAATTTCAATTATTCTCGATAATTTTAAAAAACTTTTACTCTTTCGTAACTTAACTGATAGACAGCAAAACTAGATGACTGAACTTACCTTTCGAGGAACTTTAAGCAAAGTCGAAACGCGTCGTGTGATGCTTTCAATCTCAAAAATTTCTTTATAATAATTTTGGTAAAATCACGAGTAAAAGTTTATTGTTATTGAAAATCATCAAAAAATTAATGAGGCACAAACACTAAGAAAAAAATCTCTATTTAAGTTACTATACTTTACTTCTCTTAGCGAACAGCGCTTGCTAGAGCGATACCAAATATCAATGAAAGAAGGAAGGCGACTATATGTATTGCAATGGTTTTTTTTTCCAAGCAAGTGTAACGTGATACATATCGACCTGTATATACCATAATTTTGATTTCTTCCATATTTGTAAATTCTGCACGTATAGCTGCCAGACCAGCTGAATCATCACCTCCAACGGCTGCCAACGCAGCGCTATCCTGAATACGTGTATGGATAGGCACAGTATACCATTCATTATTTTCACCAAGAGCATTATTTTGCATCATCAATGTACGATGCAACACAGAACCATTTTTCTTAAAAATTACAATGTTATAGATGGATAGAGTAATGTATAGCAAACTAATGAGAATGGGTATCGTAACTAGTGGCTTTAGAACAGCACTGATACCACCAAAAATCATAGATATAAGCCAGAAAATCACAAAAACATAACGATATAACAAGAAATGTCCACCACGCATAGTTTTTTTCTTATCTGATAACGGTAAAGAATTGTAATTATCTACAGCATGATTGTACCTTGATGCATAAGTATTTCGGACAGTCACTGTAATACCTGTTGCTCGTGCTTCACCGACACTGGTTGTCTCTTTACGATGGTGTGCAAATGCCACGTCTCCTACGCCACTAATAATCGTTCTTTCACGTTCAGAATAAGCAATTGGAACGACTGACATCTTAGTATTTGCCTTAAAAAATTAGAAAAAATACAAAAAAAAAAAGATACGAATATTTCGTCATGATATTTTCTGTTACAAAAAGGAAATAATGATAACCAAAGAATATGATAAAGATGAGGGGTGAAAAGTACGCTTTTTTCTTATCAATAATAGCCGAAGCTGTACGTCTTTTCATAAGCTGATTTGGATAATATGGATTTTTGAATGTTGCTACCGCTCACTATACTCGCGTCAGTAAATTGACGAGAACCCTTATTTTTTCAAGTGAATGCCATCTGTTATATGAAGCTCGTTAGGTATTACTTACATGCAGATGTGGATATGAATGTTAGATACATCTCTAGTAAGGTTTTTCTAATTTTAAATTGTTTTGCTGACTTTATGCTACTTTACATAGTAGACAAAGTCATCTTCACTTAGTTGAAATTTTACTCTGTATGAAGAAGAAGAAGAGCAAATATTCTTATTGTTTCTACGTCAATCATCTGTAGAACAAGAATGGTGGATCATCAATGCCTAACCATATCACTCTTTATTTTATTTCTTTTTCTCTACTAACAATTGTCAATGTCCTTGAATTTACAATTGAGAACAAAGAAAAAGATCAAGCAATGTGAATAATAAAGTGTATATTCAGCGTACCATTAGCAAATGTTTTGTTTTTTTCAATTACTATGTTGTTCTATCCAACCATATATAACAAAGAAAAATTCTATTGATGAAGTTTCTTTTTTATCAATAAAATGAAAAATGCTTTTAGCTTTACTGGTTTGTGAAGGTGTGTTGTCAATAAAAGTTTGTTATACTTATACAAAAACATCATAAAGAAATTTATTCTTGTGTGTAAAAACATAACACATTTAAATACGTCAGTGAAGTGTATTATTCCTTTTTCATCATCGCCGACCATCGTTTTCGCCGATTTCAACTTCACTGAAACAATTTTACGTAGACGACGATATTGAAGTAGACAAAAAGTTTTTTCGTTGAAGTTGAAATCGAGGAAAATGGAAATTACCATTACACGGTTGGAATAAAAACAACATAGTAATCGAAAAAACGTTTGCTAACGATACTTTAAATATGCGACTGAGAGATGAAGATGAGAGTGTAGTGTGAGTCCAGAAGTACACTGTGACCACAATTTCGATCTTGCTCAATGGTCTCATTAGACAGTTTAATTGTGTATAGACGAAACCGGTCTTGATATGCTTGACTCATCACCTCAAGGAAGATCTTTAATCATGACTTGTATGTATTCTTATATGCATCTCATAATAGTATCAAATCTTGGATACCAATGATTTGATCCTTTCTTTGAATCATTTATTTTATATAAAGCTACCTGATGAGTCTCTTAAGGTGAAGGACGAAACCAGTCTTGGTATGTGTGTGTGTTTGCTTGACTCAACCCTCGGTGTCCAATTCAATATTCTCTTCGAATCTTTTTCCTTGCGACAAATAATTTTTTTCTTTAGACCAAAACAAAAAGAATATTACAGACGCTTCTATTGAATTCACTCGAGTAAAGTAATGTCTTCAAATAGGAAGGAAATAAAATTTCCTCGTCGTCGATTTTTTCGTACAAAGACTGGATACCTAGTACAGTACTTAATACTTTTGTACTGTTCAGCATGAAAGTTTCAAGTACAAAGTAAATTTTTCCAGTGAAAGTACAATTACATACAATAGGCGTTCAAAACTTTGAACACAACAAAGTACACATATACTTTAATCTTTTTGCTGTCGACGAATGTTTATTTTCTGCAATGTCGTTAACTTTAGCTTGAATGCTACGGCGAGTACTGCAACAATAAATGTAGCTTTATTCGATATAGTTACAATAACATTTTCTTAATTGTCACTCAAAACCTATGTGATAAAAATGATAATGAGTCTTATGGACAAAGACGAAAAAAAAAAGATCTCGATTAAAAAACAGCAACAAAAACAAAACTGTATTATGTAACATCCAAGTGTATCTGTTGAGAATCGTAAAAATATATCATTATGTTCATAATAAATTTTGATTTACTTTCAAGAATACCAAATCTTTGAATAACTGCTCGCTCATGTTTGTTCGCCGTGATGTAAGAATCAGACCAGCATGTGAAAACACTCTTTCTATTGGTGCAGATGAAGCTTGAACAGAGAAAATACGCATCACCAATTTCTTTAGAACAGTCAATCGAGAAGTCGACCAATAATCTGAGAATCTTGATCTTATCGGATCACTTAGATAGCTCTCTAATTCACTGGCAGGATCACAAATCGTTGCTTCATTGAACTTCTCGTCATATTCATAGTATGCAAATAATTTCTTCTTTTTCGGTTTCGGTGTCGTTAATAAAGATGATGAAGCTTCCAACGTGGTTTTTAGCAATGATGAAGATGAATCTTGAGTGATTTCATCGAGAATAAGTTGAATCACGTTTTGTTTTAATCGATTTTCAGTATTGACAGGTAAATTAAGATCACGAATCCAATAGAATTTAAATGAAGGATCCAACACAGTAGCCATGAAATAAAGAGGATCATTGAATGGTTCACTTTTCTCTACATTCACTAGATTCAATCGATGCGTAATACCAGCGAATCGCTTGTCAATCGATGCTTGAAGTTGTTCAGCAAGTTTAATACAAAATGAGAGTTTTGTTCTCATCTCACGTAAGTGAGTGATGCAGTGTACAATAGCTGGTACGACTAAACTAATAGTGACAACGGTATCAGATTGACATTTGATCGAAATCTCATAAAATGGTTCTAAGACATCAACGATTTCTTCCAGAATCGTGAAATCAGAATTCAAGAAGGTCACTGAAGGATTCTCCATCAATTTTACAATCGATTCGAGATCAGTTTTTCCGACCGATAAAATAGATTTCATCAACATATATTCACTATTCCATCTGGTAACGTTCATTTTGTTTACGTGTTTATTCAATTCTTCTAGCAAATCAGCGATTTTCGATGATTGATTAGAAAATTTCGCCAATATTCGACATTTTTCAAGTACCTTGGAAATATGAGGTACATTCTTCAGTCCGTCGCGTACACATAGTTGCAAGGTATGCGCAAAACAAGATAATCGTATCGATAATGAATCTTGAGTCTCGTCAAAATCACTATTGCTATTATTGTTGCTCATGTTTACCATTTGTAAATTGTCTGATTGAAATTTTTCTATGGTACAAAAAATAAACAAACAAAAAAAGATGATTTCAAAAAAAAATTCCAGCCATTTGACTTGAAACAAAAGATCGATGCTAGTAGAGATAGCTTGAAACATGCACCGATCAAATTTTCTACTTCTTTTCTTTCAGTCAAAATTAACTTACGTTCAAAATCTTCAATCATTAGAACAATGTCTGTGATAAACTGGTTGCTTTGTTCATCAACTTCAACATTTTCACTACCACCACCACCATCAAAAGACAAGCCAAATTTGTATGCTTTAATCATTGATGATGCATTGTCAGTGATTATTCTGAATACTTTCTTCTTCATATCGAAACGTTCAAGAACTTCTTCGGTCATATGTTGAATATTTTCACTAGTATGAGGAGATTTAAATCGTAAGAAATCAATCAAATAGGCTTGTGGACTCATTTTCTGATCTATAAAATGACAGGTAATACCTAAGAAAGATCGGCAGCGTCGATCAGACCAAATATCCACAGTTAACGTGACATGATCAATAGTGTTTAACGCTTCATGGATTCTTGTTAAGACTATTTTCGTTAATGAAGGTATAACGTCGCGTTTCAATCTTTTGGTCGAAACGGGTTTATATTTTAAGCCACATTCTTTCATGAAATCACGAAAAGCGGGTTTCTCGATCAAGTTCAATGGTAAATTACACCGAACGATCAAATTTTTGGTGATGGACAGAATAATTCGATTCTCTTTGTATTTTGTATTTGTCAAATCAATGGGATCTTGACCGTCATCAGTAACGTTTCTGTCTTCAATCAAGCATTCATATTCGCTATTGAATAGTTGATTATATTCCAATGGATGTAGTCGTTTCAAATGTTTTAAAAAATTGCTGAATATCCCACTGTTGTCTTTATAATTTCGGTGGCACAATCTGCATAATCCATTCGTTCGATTTTTCTCGATAGAAGAGAAATCGAAATATCGTTTCCAATTTTCTCGTGTCATTCAATGGCTGCAAAGAATTGAATCAGAATGGGTATGCTTCGAACTTATCATGCTTATCTTGATCCGTGCTTGAAGAACCATCTGCTTTCAAACATGTTCACGAATTCATTCTTAGTCATCCATTCTAAAAAAAAATGCGCATGTGAGCAATTTTCTGGTGATGGAACACATCAAGGAATATTTGACTCAAGACAATACTAGAGCAGCAAGTGAATATGATTAGCTCAATATTGATAACTCAGTATGGGGATACTCAAGACATGTTTACTCAAGTACACAATTCGTAAGTAAAAGTACAAAGTACTTCTGTCAAGTACAAATACTTGTCCTTGTACTCAGCGTACTTTTACTCTTCTATTCACTGTTCTGTAGAATTTATTCTTATATGAACCAATGCGTTTTTATCAAACAATTTCGCAATAGAAAGACGACTAGTGATTCATTCATAAGTTTTTTTTTCCTTTTGACTGACTACTCGAACACTTTTCAACATGAAAATACTCTGAAATTTAATTTCACCAATGATATACTATTTTGTTATTCATGATTCATATCAGAAGACCGTAAATAAGAATGTTAATAGCTTTTTAGTCATCACCCTTCGTTGTTCATCAACGAATGAGTATCTGTGATCGTTCGAGATATTTTATTTCATGAAACCTCTTAATTTCTTGCAGGTAGTAGAGACTATAATCAGAAGCTAAGTCAAATGGAACGATTTGATTCATGCTTATTCTAGAGACTTCTCAAAGAAGTCAAAAATTGTATGTTTAGCAAGAGGCACAGGCATCAATAAACAATACTTTGAGTCGACTCTCGATTTCTTGCCTCTGAAAGAATTTCTATTCTGACAAATAAATAGTTTGTTCTACCAAAATACATGATCATGTTGTTTAGAAAAAAAATCAACAGAAAGACGATTTCACTCAGAATCCCATGCGTCAGCGACTGAAAACATACTATTATCGACATATTTCCTAACACTCACTTTATAATCTTCACCTTAGAAATGATATTCGAATACCTTATATACCTGTTATTGAAACTGTTTCGAGTTTGAATTCCAATGAGGACGGAGGTGTGCAAGGAAGAGAATCGGTTGATTGAAAGGTACACTTTTTCTCAAATGAAAAATTCACCATTAACTGTGAATAGACGCTTTCGTTTTGAAGGACTTGTTTTTTTTTCGGTGTTTCTTGTTGACTACCAATTTTTGCTTCAGTCGTCAATTCCAATGCAATCATTACAATACTAAACGTCACCAGCTAAAAAGGCAGCAAGAGAAGGAAAGGAAAATTCATTTTTTTTTGTTCTTGCTCATGGCATAGAAAAATATTCTTCGAAATTTTTTTATTTGATCTCAAAAAAGAAAAAGTACTCGAACAGAGCATAATCAATATTTGCAAATTCGAATTTTGTTTCAGAGGAAATGTATTTTTCATAAAGAAAACAAAAGCCATCATGATCGAATTTTTGTTATCCAAGATGGTTCGATGAAAGGAAGCACACCCACCCACATCCAACTGAACATGTACAACTAGCGAACAGAAACTCGATAGTCGAGATTTTTCGGTCATAGTCTTATTGATCTAGAGAAAGCCAATCACCTAGCTTACTATCATGATTAGACTTCCGTTTTGAAGTCTCCAAATTTTGTTTTGTTCTTCATGAAAATTATCTGGAATATTTGAATTCATCATTGAATGATTTTCTCGAAAATATTGTCTTGAAAATTGTTCAATAGAATAATGAATTTGATCTTTGTAATTTCTTTTGAGACCATGTTATGAAAAAGCTATCTGATGATTCCTTTAGCCGGGATGAAATCGCAATAATGGTTTCCTAGACTCACTCTCCCGGACTTGTTTCATTGAATAGAGCACCGAAAGACAGGAGGACAGCCTTTGAAACGACTGGGAATGTGCTTGCGTTTTGGATGGGCACCGTTTTGGTTTTTTTTTGGTTTTGTGTCTGTTTTTGTTACGGGAATTTATTTTGGACTATGTCATATTAGGTGGGTCATGTATCCATATAGGTTGGCAAGAGTTTTACGTGTTTTGTTTCGGTGTTTGGTCAAATTTTGGGTACCATGTTTTTTTGAAAGTTTTTGGTACTCAAATTCATTGAAACGGATTGGTTTTTGGGAAACAGATCGTTTCATAGGTCCACGAAAAATAAAATTGTTCCAGTTTAATTTTATTGTATTTAATCTGAAAATTTAGTACTCCTTTTAGTCTATAAACTCCCCTTAGTTCCTTTAGTCCTTTTAGTCTCTTTAGGGTGAAGGTGGGGGTGAGGATGTGGCTGAGGGCGCGGGTGGCTCTAGAGGAAGTGAGGGTGATGGTCATAGGACTAAAGGGACTAAAAGAACTAAAAGAACTAAAGGGAGTAAAGGGAGAAATACATTGTTAGATGAAATAGCAAAAAAAGTAAACTGGGATAAACGTTATTTTTCGTGGATCCCTCTAGATGCTGCACTCTTGGTTGGTCAAGTTAACATGTATTTGCGCGCACGTTAGTGTACTGATGAACCGTCTATTGTATAGATCGAACAATAATGAAGAGAACGAGATGTGATTGTTTTCTTATGTCGATGGAATGAATCTTTCTCAACATTGATGGTTTGATGAAAATGTCTAATCGTCTGTTTTATGTTCTTCATTTCTTTACGGATCAATATCAAAAGTAATATGATTTTCAATGGTGAACATTGTTTGTTTTTAAAAATATTCTCATTCAACTTGTAAAGGCAAACAGTATCTAACATATCGACAGTCTATCTATCGTTTCATTTCCTGTTTTTAAAGGTTAGTTTTTCTTGTTTGTTTTTCAGAGTGTTCCAGTTTGATGTTTCTCGATACATGATTGTTCATTGAATTGAAGCGAGGTAAATATTGAGAATTTTTCAACTTGTCATTGAAATCACTTTTTTTCGGTTTAGATTGTCCATCAGAGAAATGATTCCATTCCTTTAACATACGTTTTATTTTTTCTTTATTCAATGCATATATATTTTTCAAGCCAGTTGACGAGTTCCTTAAGCAAGGACAAAACCTGTCGTATGATATGCTATGAATCATCTTTCTCTTTAAAATCACCATTTATTTAGAATGACTATGATTTTGTCTTTCATCATTTGATATGAATCATTCAATTTTTTTGAATTGTTATGATTCTTCCTCATTTATGTTTATTGCATGAATGCAGTCTTTGATTCCAAACATACCTGATGAGTCCCTTTAGCAAGGACGAAACGTCGTGTGATGCTCTCCATCTCGAAAATCTTTTATAATTAAATATAACACACCCACTATTATGGAGTGTATCTGCTTGTACGTCCAAGTAGATTTTTAGGTGTCATACTTTGATTCAAATTTTATAAATTTGGATCTCTTAAGTTGATACTTGTGCCACTTGATAAGATTTAAATTTCAGCAAGATCGAAATACCAATGGTATCGTGGTAGCTATAACAAACCTATAAAAGAATCCACACGGAAAAAACAGCAATCAAGCAATGAAAAATCAGACATCGGTCATGGCAGCTCAATCACACTGCTGATTCAAATTTATTCTTCTACTAGACTTAGTATTCTACTAGACCTAGCACTGAAGATACATCTTGTTTTGGATTTTACTCAAAAAATTCAAAATAGATAAGCCATCTGAATGAGTCCCTTAGTCCGGACGAAACCGGTCATGGCAGCTCAGAGACCCATAGCTAGATCGAAACATGTGTCATGGACACTCTTCATATCCACCCTCACCCGTCACTCCACATGACCAACATATAGAACAAGAACTTTCATGGCGACGTGTATAGTCATAGAGTCAATATTGAACATGTTAATACAATTGTTTTTCTTCTGTGCTATAGATTGATGTTGATAATCCGAGGACTAAAGCTCTAAATGATAGACAAGAAGTCCAAGAAGAAGAAAGAAGACGGCCACAACTGATTTCTCTTTCATCAGCATCAAAAGAGAACTAAATCGTCTGGCCTTCGACCACCATTCAACTAAATGATGTCTCCTCGATAGATATGGTTTGTCCTATTGAATTATATCCATTTGATGCACTTACCTATATTGTTGAATAAAAAAAAAGAACAAAAAAGCATTAGATGAGTATGTTTGTTTTGCTTCAGTAGATTGCTCTTTCACTACCAACCTGCACTTTAACTACATATTCAATCTACCTACAATTCAAAACTTAACTGATGATGACCCTTAAGCAACAGTCGAAACGCGTCGTGTGATGCTTTGAATTTCAAGTCT